GAGATTGCATAATGAGGTTTCATTCACTTCCACCAGACGGGTTGTTGTTCTCCTCCACTCTGTGGCTTTCGCCAGCGCACCTGCAGCCTTTATTGGGGCTATCCAGGAGCTGTCTTTTCAAGGAAGTCCTTGTCCTGGTCCCCGAGTTGGAGCAGTTTTGGGGTTTCTACTCCAATCTGTTTGCAGTTCCCAAGTCGGATGGGTTTCGGCTGATCCTGGACCTCTGGCCCTGGATGTCTTTGTGCGGTTCATACATTCATGATGGAATCCATTCACTCGGTGGTGGCTTTCCTCCACCAAGGGGATTTTCTGGCCCCCATAGACATCAAGGATACTTATCAGCACATTCCCATTTCCGAGGGTCATCAGCGCTTCCTCCGCTTTGCTCCGGGCCACGCTTTATCAGTTTGTAGCGCTGCCGTTCAGTTTGGTTACCAAGGTCTTGGCTCCAGTCCTGGCCTTGCCGACAATGACGACTTAGTGTGATCTGTTACTTGGCCAACTTGCTTCTCTGTGCGGAGACTCTTTGGTCACTGTTGGACGGTGTGATCACCATGTGTTCCATATGTGACTTCAGGTGGTTCCTAAACCATAGGAAGTCCATGTTGACGTCATCCAAGTGCCTGGAGTATATGGACCAATTCTTGATTCGGAGCAGGTCACAGTTTTCCTGCAGTCGGACAAGCTCCAGTCAGCAGTCTGACAGCTCTTTTTTTGCAAGTGCCCCCCCCCCCCCCCCCCGCATTCTTGCATGCAGGTGTTAACTCTGATGGTAGCTGTTTTCAAAACAGTTCCATACCAGGACGCTGCTGAGGAAGATCCTATCCAAATAGCGCAGGTCTTCTGCTTCCCAGGATGATCAGATTAATCTGGAGCGGTCGACAAAGGCCTCTTTCTTCTGGTGGCTGCTGTCTACATTTCTAAGGATAGAAAGGTCCTTCCTTCCCCTTCAATGGTTAGTCTCCGGGGATCAGATTCGGTTCTGGGTCGCTGTACTCTGGAGGAAGCTCGGCTACCCATCAATGTCCTGGAGCTTTGAGGGATCAGGTCGGTTGACACATTGGTTGGATCATCTGAAGGGTCTACCGATCAGTATCCCATCAGATGACGCCACTAGGGTGGCTGTTGTAAATAACCAGGGAGGTAGCAGAAGTGCAGCAGTCTCGCATCGTACAATGGGCGAAAAGTTGTGTCTCAGCTCTCTCCACCGTACACAATCCAGGTATCGAAACCTGGCAGGTGGCTTATCTCAGGCATCAGTCACTGGATCAGGGGGAGCAGTCCCTGCACCCGAAGGTGTTCCAGCAGCTCTGCCTTCTCAGGGGGATGCCATAGGTGGATCTTCTGGCATCCCATCTCAACCGAAAGATTACAATATTCATGTCAAGTTCACTGGATCCCCTGGCTGAAGTGGAGGATGTGCTAGTGGCGCAGTGGGATCAGTACAATCCTGGCTTATCTCAGCCATCAGTCGCTGGATTGGGGGTCCCTGCACCTGGAGGTGTTATAGCAGCTCTGCGTTCGCAGGGGGACACCGGAGATGGATCTTCTGGCATCCCGTCTCAACCCAAAGGTTCCAAGATTCATGTCAGGATCACTGGATCCCCTGTCGGATGTGAAGAATGCGCTAGTGTTGGATTGGGATCAGTACAATCTACGCCTTCCAGCCCCTCTGATTGATTCCTCGTGTTCTGCGCAGGATGGAGGCTGAAAGGATCCTGGTCATCCTAATGGCTCCAGACTGACCTCGCCGTCTGTAGTATGCCTCTTTGAGAGGACCTTCTCTCTCAAGGTCCAGTGTTCCACCCTGCCTTACCATCACTGGCATGTCGGCGTGGCTATTGAAAGCCAGGTTCTGAATGACAGAGGGTTGTCTGGCTTGATGATCCCAACTATGCTAAAGGCTCGTAAGTCTACCTTCTGGAAGATTAATTATCACACCTGGAGAGATTATATTGGTTGGTGCGAAACTTGGGGTTCAATGCTCGCTCTTTCGGTGGCTCAGGTGTTGGCCTTCCTCCAACATGGTGTGGATCTGAAGCTTGCGTTGAGCATGATCAAGAGTCAAATCTCCGCTCTGTCGGTGTTCTTTCAGTGCCCTTTGGCCACACATTCTTTGGTTTGCACTTTTATTCAGGGAATTCGCCATGTGGTGGCTTCACTGAGCTCTCTGATGTACCAAGGGACTTGACTTTGGTGCTGTCTGTTCTCAGAAGTCTCCTGTTGAGATCATTTGAGATATACCTTTGCTTTTGCTTTCTCGGAAAGTTGCCTTCCGGGTTGCTATCACTTTGGCTTGGAGGGTGTCGTAGTTTAATAGCTTTGTCTTGTGAGCCACTTTGGCAGTGAAAGGATTAAAGTCCATTTAACATGACATGTCCATCAAACATTACCCTGTCCACAGAATGTCAATGTTGCTTTGCAGTTTCACTGCAGAATGAACATAGATGTCACCCTATTACAGGAAGTGGAAAAATAGCAGATCTACTGGAAGGATCAATAGGTAATAACAAAAAAAGTGGCAGATTGCATCATATGTCTATTTTCTATTGTGCCCATAGTTCAACTTTTACAAGGACTACCAGTCTGATGTCAGCTTTCAGAATTATAGTGTAGTTAGACTCAAATGAATACTAGAACCAGTTGACTAATGGCTTCATAAAGGGTTTCTCCAAATTACGTTTTTCCTCTGTTTCTTTTCTTCCAAACACTGTAGACATGTAGACAACAACTGACATTAAAGTGTTACTAAACCCATGACCCTGAATTCACTATATCTGGTCTCCCACAGCACACACTACATGGAAATGAAATTATTGTAGTAAGTATAAACTGCTAAATACCTTTTCTCATCAGCAGCATTTAGCAGTATTGTGACTTCTGTCAGTGTCCAGGTGAGCACTGGTTAAAGCTTGTAGGAGAAGTTTATATTCTCCTCTGACTGTCTTATGAGGCTGTATCACCCCTGACCCTATATCTGGAAAGTTCTGACTGGCCCTGTGCTGATAACATGCACCCTCCCCCATAAAAAAAACCTCTTTAGCAATACACACTAAACTGAGCATGCGCAGAGTGACTCCTAGAGCTCTGTACTATCAGCAGATAGATTGGGGACAGTAGAAGAAGGGGAGAATCAGAAAATACAGGATTGAACAGCCTTTTTACACAATATGGCGGATTAACCCCTTAGGTTTCACAGTGAGTATAACAAGCATGCTTTACTGTATAGTCAGACTGATTTTGCTGTTGTGGGTTTAGTAACACTTTAAACGGAGAGATATTCAAACCACTGAGTTAAGGTCCTAAAGTGTAACGAAAGGCAAAAGGGTTTTATTTCATTATGGATAGAGTAAGGGAGGATTATAACCCCTGTCACTTTTTTGCCATCTGTATCCCATTGGGGAGATTGCCACTCACTTCCTGCCCCATAGCTAAAAGAGGTAATGAGAGGAGATCCCTCCAAAGTGAAGTGTTCCACCAGAACTAGTGTCCCCATAGGAAGATTTCGCCTCTGTCAGGCTCTATGCTCACTAGCGGTTTTTTTTTAAGCTTGAAAAGCGCTGGACAAAAATCACTGATAATAGCATTAGCATTTTGTTAGCGTTTTTACAGTACATGTAAAAAAAAAAAAATCTGTTAGGAGCATTTTAGTAGCGTTTAACTCTACAAAAACAATTTTTTTTCTGCTCCTAGACACTGAAGCTCCAAAAACGCTAATAGCTTAAAGTAGTTTGCATGGACACATAGGATAAAACTATTTAGCTTCTAGGAGCAGAAAGAAAAATGCTAATAACAGCTTTTAGGAGCTTAAAAAACGCTAGTGTGCATGGAGCCTTAAGCCCCATGTACCTGGGGCGTTTCTGAACGATGGAAACTGACCGCTGAAAAACGTAGGTTAAAAAACATCTGTTTATCCGCGTTTGCATAACGTGTTTGCGTTTAGAAGCGTTTTTTAAAGATAAGCACAGGAGAACCTCCCAATTGCCCATAATGCACTGAAAAGTGGTAAATTATTAACTATTTCAGACTGTTTCAGAGAAATACACACAGTATAAGCAGAGACAGCAGTATGTGTTGAGATTAGCTTAAGTGTGAGTTGCTCATTAACATTTCTTTTGTTTCCAAGGGTGGGAAAGGTGTCTGGTGGAGTGAGTCATTAAGGTCACCTGGCAGGGGGTCTTCATGAGGAATTTGAGGTGTGAATGGTCATTAACATATCTTTTGTTTCCAAGGGTGGGAGTGGTCTGAGGTGTGAATTGGTCATTGCAATGTGTGACAAGCTTGGTAGGAACATCCTGTGTTCAGGATTTTGTCCATCTGAGCACCTTGAAAACGCTTTGCATGCATTTTTCATGATGAAAAAAGGCTCTGGATAGCATTGGGAACTGGAAGAGTTAAAAAAAAATTCAAACGCAAATGCTTATAAGCACGATTTGCCACGTTTAGATGCGTTTACAAGCGTTTTGCGTTTGAAACACTGATGAAATCGACGTCTGAATGCAAGTTTGTTGCATTCAATAAAACGACTGTAAACTCAACTGCCTGTAAACAAAAATGTGTACATGGACACATAGGAAAACATTAGGGTGAGTTCAGGGGCTGCTGAAAAAAACGCTGAACAGCTCCTAAACGTGAGTTTATCAGCTGCAGTGTACATGAGCCCTTAGTATTCTGATGTCAGCCCAAAATTTGGGATTTTCTTTTACTTTTACTTTCAGTGATAACGGCAAACAAGACAAATAGAGAGGATGAATCACTGTAATGAGAACACAGACAGCAATAAAAACTGACAGGTGTTCTAATCCCTCTCCACTCTATCCGAAACAAAGAAAAAAAGGTTTTGCCTTTAGTTACATTTTATAAAAATTTTTGTAGACCATATGCCAGATATTATCCTCCTTTTGACATTGCTTTACTGTTTCTTATAGATGCCTCCCCCTGGGCTTCCACCTCCGTTTCCACCAATTGGATTGCCACCAGTTGGACAGAGGCCCCCCGCAATGCCCCCAATTCCGCATGCGATGATGCCACCAATAATCCCACCCATGGCAGGACCACCACCTCTTGCTCAGGTGTGAACTAAAAATGTCATGTCTGTGGTGTAAGAAATGCAATATTATTAGTGAATTGTACGGTGAGTTTGTGAACAATCCTGTATTATATCATTTTTATCCTAATTTTATGTAAGTTACTTCCTTATAATGGAAACAATAGTGGTTGTGTTCAGAAGGGAGCTCAATGGCACCACATCCCAAAATTTAACAAATTGCCAAGAGAAGAGGAGAGAGGATACAAAGATCAGGAAAAGAGGAGGAGAATGAACTCCTCACATGAACAAAGAGTAAGCGGGATTTTGAAGGTGCCATAAATAATAGTACAACAATATAAGCTAAAACTTACAATATTTATTGTTAAATCAGTAAAAAATCAGTTTAAAAGAAATACATTTGAGTATCCCAACATTAATGGAAATACTTGTTCAGAGACATATATCCCATGCAATATTTCTCAACATGTTTTGCCTATTTCAGGCTTCTGCAGGAGATATTTAATATAACACCTATAACAACAAATTCATGTTGATTACACAATATACCAACAAATTAGATATCTTGAGTACATAAGTAAAAAATATAGCAAATTTAAATCACTACAATTCTTAAGTGATATACGTCATATAAATATTTCAAAATTTGATGAGGGGAAGATTACCAAATAGTTTATAATGGCTCAAATGGGCAAGTAGTATGCAGAATCATTATAGTGCAATTTGATGGAACACAAAATCCTCAAAGGGGCCAGGACTAAATGGCGCTTCAGATGGTTGGTAGAGGGGCACAAAAGCTAAGTATAAAAGTAGAAAAGCATCAACAGCCACTGACAATTTAAAAAAAAAAAAATATATATATATATATACTCAAAAGGTTACGGTAAATAAAAGAGCATGTACCTTTAAGGAATAGGATAGACACCACTATTTGTGTACTCCGCAAATACGATTGCTACCATCACATTTAATTGTGTTATACCTTTTCAAGAGTTGGTTTTGGCCAGCTCAGTGGATTGCTTCAAAAAAGACCTGGATTGTTTCTTAGATATACAGAATATAACTAACATTTATAGGTAAGTTGATCCAGGGAATATCCGATTGCCTCTCAGGGGATCAGGAAGGAATTTTTTTCCCAGCAGGAGCAAATTGGATCATGCTTTGCTGGGTTTTTTTTTTTTGCCTTCCTCTGGATCAACTATGGGTATAGGATTATAACTTTTTTTCACTTTTTTTCTCTATGGTTGAACTGGATGGACTTTTGTCTTTTTTCAGCCAGACTAACTATGTAACATCGGAAAAAACGAAAAACACGGGTCCCAAGTTGGGTACTGGAATATAAAAGTAGTGTACAGTAAAAAGGAGACCACTATCACTACAGTTGGCATAGTCCACACTATGTGTGCATATAGTGTAGATTCTGAGCTTATCAAAACACTTTGTATCACTAAGGGGAAGGTGGCAACAACCAAATGCTTATTGGGCAATAAAACAATCCTCAAACAAGGTAGTAATAAATATTGAGAGACTAGAAGTAGAAAACATTATTATTATTTTTATACAGGATTTATATAGCACCAACAGTTTACTCAGCGCTTTACAATATAACATCAGCTGCAAGCTCCAAAATGTATCTATAAAGTCTCACCAATGTTGCACCAGCACCACAGACACCACCTCCCCATCAGCCAACAAAACTTTGGAGTCAAACCAGCTCATTTATATGTTAGCCCCTCCCGCTACGTCTGACGTTGATGACGTCATGATACCAGTGATGTCATGATGCAGTGTGGACGTAGGACGTCATTTCCGCCCACCATCTGCACAGCGCCAACCAACACAATGGGAAACACAGTAACCACATACTACTGTCCCGCAGAGGGAAAAGTATACAAACAAGGCACATCAGCAGCATCACATTGATTGCTAAATACTGCCTCAACTTGGCTTAAGGCTCTTAACATAGTTGAAGCACCATCTATAGGACAAATGACAAATTGCTGTACTAATAAATACCTGCAGATTTCAGTTACATATGAAAGGCAGAGTATACTTCCTATAACCCATCCATCCAACCATCCAAGTGTCGTATGTCCAGGCTAAAAATTATTTGTAAGGTACTTGTCAATCACTGTTCAATTTTACTTATTAAATGGTTAAATAGAACAAAGAGCCCTCCAACAATTCTGCAACAATGATGCAATATATGCTCCTAAATATGATAAGTTACAAGCGAAGAATACACAGATACATTAGTGGATGGCTATTATTAGGATCATATCCAGCAGGGATTCTAAACTATAAGAAGGGTTTGAAACTTACAGAGTCATTTAAACCTGGAGATTTAGTGACTTGCAGGGTGAAAATTCATTTCGTCTCATGCTGCAATAAAAGACGATCCACATCCCCACCTCTGTCATGGATGGGGATGTGTTCTAGCGCAAAAAAAAATTATTTTAGATAGGTCATAGTTGTGGTAAAGACCTACATGTCTGCTAATAGGAGTTTCTGGTCTCTTTTTAATAATTAGAGATGTATGTTTACGGATGCGTTGAAAGAACATCTGTTTGGTTTTGCCCACATAGAATGCCCAACAATCACATAACATCAGGTATACAACACTCATAGTTTGACAATTTACTGAACATCTTGGTGTGTATATATGTCCATTTGGTAAAGTAACTGCAATGGCTCTTAACAAGAAATGGCAAAAATTGCATTTTCCGCAAGGCAATGTGCATATTTGTTTGGGTTTGGATAAATCCTTTCTTACATAGTGATTCTGTACCAATTGATCCTTCAAAGATCTGGATCTGCAAAACGTAATTTGTGGGGAAGGGCCAATATATTTGGAAACCGTGTCAGCTGCCTGCAACAAATACCAGAACTTACCCAAAATTTCATGCACTAATTTCTCTTGACCTGTAAAACGAGCAATGACTCTAGTGGTAGAGGGAATAGATCTGGATTTGGGTTGATGAATTATTTGGGAGCTATTTAGGCCTTTACCTCGATTATAAGCTTTCTTTAGACAAGATCTACTGTAGCCCCGTTGCAAGAGGCGTGTCTGTAAAGCCTTTGCTTCACTTTCAAAATCCATGGGTTTAGTGCAATTCTGTTTGATTCTTAGGTACTGGCTATACGAAATACTCAATATCAAGGGTTTAGGATGTGAACTTGTGGTGTGGAGAATAGTATTCCCCACCGTTGGTTTCCGAGCATGGTACAAACCAATACTTTCGAGCCGAGTTAACTCTATGGTTATTAAATACAAGGCCATCATTAATCGGGCCTACCGTCAAGGAATTATAGACAAGAGTACATTAAACTTCCTGAGTTAGAAATCCTAAAACTCCTACTCTATATGCATTACGCTTGGATGGTTTTACGGATGGTTTACAGGAAGTTTACTCTGCCTTTCATATGTAACCTAAATCTGCAGGTATTTATTAGTACAGTAATTTGTCATTTGTCCTATAGATGGTGCTTCAACTATGTTAAGAGCCTTAAGCCAAGTTGAGGCAGTATTTAGCAATCAATGTGATGCTGATGATGTGCCTTTTTTGTATATTTATCTCTCTGCAGGGCGGTAGTATGTGGTTACCGTGTTTCTCATTGTGGTGTGCTGTTGGGGTGCAGCCATGTTGGTTGGCGCTGTGCAGATGGTGGGCGGAAGTGACGTCCTAAGTCCGTGCTGCATCATGACGTCACTGGCATCATGACGTCATCAACGTCACTGGCATCATGACGTCATCAACGTCGGAACGCAGTGGGAGGGGCTCACATATAAATGAGCTGGTTTGGCTCCAAAGTTTTGTTGGCTGATGGGGAGGTGGTGTCTGTGGTGCTGTTGCAACATTGGTGAGACTTTATAGATACAGTTTGGAGCTTGTGGCTGATGTTTTCTACTTCTGGTCTCCCAATATTTATTACTAATCTTTCGGTAACCTTATCCAATAGCATGCATTTCCTTGTTTGAGGATTGTTTTTTTGCCCAATGAGCATTTGGTTATTGCCACCTTCCCCTTAGTGATACAAAGTGTTTTGACAAAGGTAAGCTCAGAATCTACACTATACGCACACAGAGTGTGCACTATGCCAACTGTAGTGATAGTGGTCTCCTTTTTACTGTACTCTACTTTTATATTCCAGGACCCAACTTGGGACCTGTATATTTCGTTTTTTTTTCGATGTAACACAATTAAACGTGATGGTAGTAATCATATTTGCTGAGTGCACAAATAGGGGTGTCTATCCTAAATACAATGTGTAAAAGTGCTTGCGAGCTACTATGGTGAATATACAAGTGCCTCAATAATTAATCAATTATGTTAAATTAACACACACGTGGTTCACTGACACCAAACACTTACTCATATAATAGTGAATACAACTGATTTAAAATAATGATATATATGTGCCGTGCTCCACTAAATCAATAAATATAATAATATACCAATTATTCATGTGATCAAAAATCAAATAATATATATTATATAATATATATATATATATATATATATGTCTACTTCTTCCTTTTCCTCCACTCTTTAATACTCCATAATAATATTTAAAAAAAGAACATAGTGCCTTATCCTGTTTATATCTTTATTGGTATATACAATGCCATTCCACTCACATTTATAATAAATTTCCCCCTGATGAAGCCACGTGACCCGGTGGCGCAACGCGTAGGAGTGGGGCTCTGATGTCACGACGCATTCAGGATCTAACGGCGAGTACAGACAGAGGATTAAAAGCAATTTACAAAAGTGGTTTTAATTTATTATAAATGTGAGTGAAATGGCATTGTATATACCAATAAAGATATAAAAAGGATAAGGCACTATGTTCTTTTTTCTTTTTTGAAATATTAATATGGAGTATTAAAGAGTGGAGGGAAAGGAAGAAGTAGACCCCTGGAGGAGAGAGGGAGAAATCCATTCATCCATAATCCAACACAGGGATCAGCTAACCAGAGAGACTCCAGGTGGAAAAATAGAAATATTACAACCTACTATTCATTAATCCTGGAAAAGATCTCATCCATCCAACTAAGGACAAAAAGCTGTTTTAGCCTAATTTGCAGTTAGGCTAAAAGTGAGGTGAACGCATAAGAAAATCATATCCGGTCCATTTGATGTTGTTTTCAGAAATTTTATCAGATAGTGGACACATTTTTGGATTGATTTTTTTCACTTTAAAATTTTTATGAATTTTGTATATTTTTTTTTTTAATTATATTATAGATGCACTAAAATTATTTATCACATTTTCACATGTATTTACATATTTATTTTATATCTTAATATATATATATATATATATATATATTATTAGTTTGGTTTTTGATCTCATGAATAATTGGTATATTATTATATTTATTGATTTAGTGGAGCGTGGCACATGCATATTATTTTAAATCAATGGTGTCTATCCTATTCCTTAAAGGTATATGCCTTTTTATTTTATAAATTTTTTTTTTTTTGGAGATTTTCAGTGGCTGTTGATGCTTTTCTACTTAGCTTTTGTGCCCAACCATCTGAAGCGCCATTTAGTCCGGGCCCCTTTGAGGATTTTGTGTTCCATCAAATTGCACTATAATGATTCTGCATACTACTTGTCCATTTGAGCCATTATGAACTATTTGGTAATCTGCCCCTCATCAAAATTTTAAATATTTGTATAATGTATATCGCTTATGATTTGTAGTGATTTAAATTTGCTATATTTTTTTACATATGTACTCAAGATATCTAATTTGTTGGTATATTGTGTAATCAACATGAATTTGTTGTTATAGGTGTTATATTAAATATCTCTTGAAGAAGCCTGAAATAGGCAAAACATGTTGAGAATATTGCATGGGATATATGTCTCTGAATAAGTATTTCCATTAATGTTGGGATACTCAAATGTATTTCTTTTAAACTATTTTTACTGATTTAACAATAAATATTGTAAGTTTTAGCTTATATTGTTGTCCTATTATTTATGGCACCTTAAAAATCCTGCTTAATCTTTTTTCATGTGAGGAGTTCATTCCCCTCCTCTTTTCCTGTTCTTTGTATCCCCTCTTCTCTTCTCTTGGTACTATCCCTATAATGTTGCTACATGAAAAGAATTAGATAAACAGAGAGAAATTCTTTCATAGAAAAGTATGCAACTAGGACTGGACCAAAATGAATATATGTACCATAAATGGCATGAAAATGTAAAGTGTATGTAAAGCCAAAACTTTTGTTTGTTTTAGAGCAGAGAATGGTTATGATCCCTGTCCATTCTTTTATTGTACTCTGTGTCCTGACTTCCCTTCACTTCTCGTTACAGTTACACAACAGGAAGTGATAGGAAATCTATGGTTGTCACCAGAACAGATTTGTGTATTGAGGGGTTTGCCCTTACCTCTTGTTCTTGTGAAAACTCAAATGTGGATTATCCATCACTTTTCATACCGTGGACAATAGTCACCAGTACAAATAGAGAGGGTGAATCTCTGTGAATACAGACAGTAATAAAATAAAAAGTTGTGGCTTTGCATACACTTTAAATATGGGATTTCATAGACTGCCACGTATTTCCCATATTTCCTAATATGATATACTTTCTCTACCGAAATCAAATCATTACACTTTTCAACTAATAGATATATGTGAATATAGGGGCTACATTCACTTAAAAATTAATAATTGCACAGTAAATATAGGTGAAAATTAATTTTGATCTTAGGAACTTGCAGAGCATTTCTCCTGCAGACACTGCCTACAGCTTTCTGCCTGTACCTGTGTACAGACTTTCTGTTTGAAAGCTGTGGGAAGTGTCAATGAACTACGAGAGCGATTATCAGTCCCCTCATACTTCATTGAGAACGCCAAGCTACAGTGGGGCAAAAAAGTATTTAGTCAGCCACCAATTGTGCAAGTTCTCCCACTTAAAAAGATGAGAGAGGCCTGTAATTGGCATCATAGGTAGACCTCAACTATGAGAGACAAAATGAGAAAAAAAAATCCAGACAATCACATTGGCTGATTTGGAAAGAATTTACTTGCAAATTATGGTGGAAAATAAGTATTTGGTCAATATCAAAAGTTCATATCAATACTTTGTTATATATTCTTTGTTGGCAATGACAGAGGTCAAACGTTTCCTGTAAGTCTTCACAAGGTTGGCACACACTGTTGCTGGTATGTTGGCCCATTCCTCCATGCAGATCTCCTCTAGAGCAGTGATGTTTTGAGGCTGTCACTGGGCAACATGGACTTTCAACTCCCTCCAAAGGTTTTCTATGGGGTTGAGATCTGGAGACTGGCTAGGCCACTCCAGGACCTTGAAATGCTTCTTACGAAGCCACTCCTTCGTTGCCCGGGCGGTATGTTTGGGATCATTGTCATGTTGGAAGACCCAGCCACGTTTCATCTTCAGTGCCCTTGCTGATGGAAGGAGGTTTGCACTCAAAATCTCACGATACATGGCCCCATTCATTCTGTCCTGTACATGGATCAGTCGTCCTGGTCCCTTTGCAGAGAAACAGCCCCAAAGCATGATGTTGACACCCCCAAGCTTCACAGTAGGTATGGTGTTCTTTGGATGCAACTCCGCATTCACTCTCCTCCAAACACGACGAGTTGTGTTTCTACCAAACAGTTCTATTTTGGTTTCATCTGACCATATGACATTCTCCCAATCCCTATTCTGGATCATCCAAATCCTGGTCCCTTTGCAGAGAAACAGCCCCAAAGCATGATGTTGACACCCCCAAGCTTCACAGTAGGTATGGTGTTCTTTGGATGCAACTGTCAGGAATGGACTGGCCAGCAATGGTGGGACTCACCTGCCTTATGGGCTGCAGTACCAGGGCTGGCCAGCGGGTGCTCCCAGCAATCAGAGACTCAACCTTGCAGCCAGCCAAACACCTGAAACTGCTTATGCTGGTGTATTTAAGGGATGGCCAGACCTGCAGACTCTGCCTTGGTGTGTGTTTCTCCTGGGCCCTGTATCCTGTTCCTGCAATCCTGTTCCTGTCTGATTCGTTGCTGACCATTCCCTGCTCTGATCCTGGCTTTGTCTGACCATTCTCCTGCTCTGATCCCTGGCTTTGTCTGACCATTCTCCTGCTCTGATCCCTGGCTTTGTCTGACCATTCTCCTGCTTAACCCCATACGTTCTGACCTCCTGTTATTGACCCGGCCTGCCTGACGACGCTTGCATTGTATGTTTTGTTATCTGTGGGTGGTTTGGTTGGGTTCGTTTGCACTGTGTTATGTTTTAGTATTGCACTGCGTTTATGTATTGTTAGTGTTAATAAATTATATTGTTTATATCATATCTGGAGTCTGCGTTTCCCTGCGTCAGTCACATATCTCTGGTCATACCCTGGGAGCCCTGACAGCAACTCAGCATTCTCTCTCCTCCAAACACGACGAGTTGTGTTTCTACAAAACAGTTCTATTTTGGTTTCATCTGACCATATGACATTCTCCCAACCCTCTTCTGGATCATCCAACTGGTCTTTAGCAAACTTCAGACAGGGCCGGACATGTGCTGACTTAAGCAGGGGGACACGTCTGGCACTGCAGGATCTGAGTCCCTGGCGGCGTAGTGTGTTACTGATGGTAGCCCTTGTTACGTTGGTCCCAGCTCTCTGCAGGTCATTCACTAGGTCCCCCCCCGTGTGGTCCTGGGATTTTTGCTCACCATTCTTGTGATCATTTTGACCCCACGGGGTGAGCTCTTGCGTGGAGCCCCAGATCAAGGGAGATTATCAGTGGTCTTGTATGTCTTCCATTTTCTAATTATTGCTCCCACAGTTGATTTGTTCACACCAAGCTGCTTGCCTATTGCAGATTCAGTCTTCCCAGCCTGGTGCAGGTCTACAATTTTGTTTCTGGTGTCCTTCGACAGCTCTCTAGTCTTCACCATAGTGGAGTTTGGAGTGTGACTGTTTGAAGTTGTGGACAGGTGTCTTTTATACTGATAACAAGTTCAAACAGGTGCCATTGATACAGGTAATGACTGCAGGACAGAGGAGCCTCTTAAAGAAGAAGGTACAGGTCTGTGAGAGCCAGAAATCTTGCTTGTTTGTAGGTGATTAAATACTTATTTTCCACCATGATTTGCAAATAAATTGTCTGGATTTTTTTTCTCATTTTGTCTCTCATCGTTGAGGTCTACCTATGATGCCAATTACAGGCCTCTCTCATCTTTTTAAGTGGGAGAACTTGCACAATTGGTGGCTAACTAAATACTTTTTTTGCCCCACTGTATCTGCTACGGTTGCTGATGGGATTTGTAGTGAATGAATAAATGAATGATGTGACTGTGTGGGCGGAGCCCTACACAGCCTTGCTGCTTTTAAATTGTGCCAGAAAATGCAGAGAGCCCCCATCCGCTGTCATTTGGGGAGTGTGGGGACAGATGCGTAGTGACATGTTACACCCTAAATATTATTGTAACATGTTACTAAAGAAGAACTTCACCTTTAAGTGGTTTCACGTATGTCTCACTGTCTGCTAGTTTTACCTATATTTTATATATTTATTAAGTCAATGATAAGACTGTCCTATAATTCTGCTATTTATTCTACTCCAAAGCTTCAAAACCTGGTGCCGCCATTAATACCAACCATGATGCTACCAGCAGTAACAACCACAGCATCTTCAATGGTCAGTATTTTGAGTTTCAGTCTTCGTTATTAAAAAAATTGATATATCACAGAAAAATTGCAACATACAGGTCCAGTTATATTTGGACACAGGCATAATTTTAGGTTTTTTTTCAGGTATTTACCAAAACATATTCAAGCTATAGTTATATAATGGATATGGGCTGAAAGTGCACACTCTTAGATTTAATTTGAGCGTATGTACATCCAAATTGGAGGAAGGGTTTAGGAATTACAGCTCATAAGAGTAGCCATCCCCCTTTTTTCAAGGGACCAAAAGTAAATGGACAATTGAATCAAAAGCTGTTTGATGGCCAGATGTGGGCTACTCCTTCATTATTTCTTCATCAATTAACCACTTTCCTACAGGGCACTTATACCCCTTTCCTGGCCAGGCCAGTTTTCAGCTTTCAGCGCTGCCGCACTTTGAATGACAATTGCGCGGTCATGCAACACTGTACCCAAATGAAATATTTATCATTTTTTGAGACAGAGCTTCCTTTTGGTGGTATTTAATCACCTCTGGGTTTTTTTATTTTTTGCTAAACAACAAAAACAACTGAAAATTTTGAAAAAAAAAAAGTTTTTTTCTTAGTTTTTGTTATAAAATTTTGTAAATAAGTGATTTTTTCTCCTTCACACTGATGTGCGCTAATGAGGCTGCAGTGATGGACACTGATAGGCTGCACTTATGGGCACTGATAGGTGGAACTTATGGGCACTGATGAGGAGGCACTAGTAGGTGGCACTGATGGGCATTGACAGGCATCACTGATGGGCACTGAATGCAGCACTCATATATGGCACTGATAGGCGGCACTGACTGGCACTGATAGGCGGCACTGACTGGCACTGTTAGGCGGCACTGATAGGCGGCACTGATAGGCAGCGACCGGCACTGATGTGCACTGATAGGCGGCACTGACTGGCACTGATTGGTGGCACTGATTGGCAGCACTGATAGGTGGCACTGACTGGCATTGATAGGTGGCACTGATAGGTGACACTGAAAGGCAGCTCAGATGGGCACTGATATGTGGCATTAATGTGCACTGGTAGGCACTGATATGTGGCACTGATGGGCACTGGCAGGTGGCATTGATGAGCACTGACAGCTGGCATTGATGGGCACTGACAGGTGGCACTGCTGGGGCTACACTGATCATCAGGGCATGTCCCCTCTGAGGAATGCCGATTACCGGCTCTCATCTCCTCACGAGCTGTCATTGTGACAGCTCGTGAGGAGAGAAATGCTGATAACCGGCAATTCCCTATTTACATGCGATCAGCTGTGATTGGACACAGCTGATCACATGACCGAGCCGAGATCTTCCGTTGATCGGTGATCCGCTGTGCGCTCCCGGAGCCACGCACGCGTGGTGAGAGTGCGTGGACAGCTCCTTTGAATCCCAGAATGAGAGAACCGCCTTGCGCCCGTCATTACCCAAAGGTCTGGAGTTGATTCTAAGTGTGGTATTTGCATTTGGAATCTGTTGCTGTGAACCTACATCATGCATTCAAAGGAGCTGTCCATGCACCTGAAGCAGACCATTGTAAGGCTTCAAAAGCAAAACAAATCCATCAGGGAGTAGCAGTGACATTAGGAGTGGCCAGATCAACCCTTTGCTACATTCTGAGGAAAGAAGAACGCACTGGTGAGCTCAGCAACATAAAAAGACATGGACGTCCACAGAAGACAACATTGGTGGATGATCGCAGGATCCTCTCTGTGGTAAAGAAAAACCCATTCACAACAACCAGACAAGTAAAGGACACTCTCCAAGAGGTTGGCATGTCATTGTCAAATCCAAAATAAGGTGTAAAATCCCTCACAAAACTGCCCTAAAAAATAAATGTAATTACCAATCATTTGAAAAGTAATATGAAAACATCAGTTAATGTGAAATGTGCAAATCACTCATATAATAACCTGCTGCCACATTGAATTATTAAAATTATAATAATATTTAAAAAAGAAATAAATATTAATGTGGCATATACATCAATAATAATAATTTTTTTGAACATACTGTATATGAAAGTCCAAATAATTCAGTCCATTCTTGTGATCACCATGTGAAGAAAAAAATATACAAAATTCAGCAGAATAAATCACTTTGATCATCCAATAATCACCGCGTGAATAATTGTGCAAAAAAACTAAATATAAATCTGTGTGGTGCTCCCCTCTCAGGTGTGCACTCACCAAACTTAATTGCCTTCCACTCTCATGTTTGGCATGCTGAGTTTAAGAATATAATTCTCCAAGGACCAGATCACCCTTCAATCAGTAGTATGGATCTCTAGTAATCGTTCCCTGTCTCCAGGGTTAAAGGGAATTATCCTTCCAAAACTCCACACATATATCACATAGAAGATAAAAAATGGAAACCCCACATGGTGCAGTACTTCTTAAAAAGCTTTATTCTCTACTAGAGAATACTACTTACAAGAAGTTTAATAGAATCAAGCCCAAAGATGTATATACAGTGGGGATCGAAAGTTTGGGCACCCCAGCTAAAAATGTTTGTATTAATGTGTATAACGAAGCCAAGGAAAGATGGAAAAATCTCCAAAAGGCATCAAATTACAGATTAGACATTCTTATAATATGTCAACAAAAGTTAGATTTTATTTCCATCATTTACACTTTCAAAATAACAGAAAACAAAAAAATGGTGTCTGCAAAAGTTTGGGCACCCTGCAGAATTTATAGCATGCACTGCCCCCTTTGCAAAGCTGAGACCTGCCAGTGTCATGGATTGTTCTCAATCATCGTCTGGGAAGACCAGGTTATGTCAATCTCAAAGGTTTTAAATGCCCAGACTCATCTGACCTTGCCCCAACAATCAGCACCATGGGTTCTTCTAAGCAGTTGTCTAGAAAACTGACACAGAAAATAGTTGACGCTCACAAAGCTGGAGAAGGCAATAAGAAGATAGCAAAGCGTTTTCAGATGTCAATATCCTCTGTTCGGAATGTAATTAAGAAATGGCAGTCATCAGGAACAGTGGAAGTTAAAGCAAGATCTGGAAGACCAAGAAAAATATCAGACAGAACAGCTCGCAGGATTGTGAGAAAAACAATTCAAAACCCACGTTTGACTGCACGATCCCTCCAGAAAGATCTGGCAGACACTGGAGTTGTGGTACACTATTTCACTATAAACAGATACTTGTACAAATATGGTCTTCATGGAAGAGTCATCAGAAGAAAACCTCTTCTACATCCTCACCACAAAAATCATCGTTTGAACTTTGCAAATGAACATATAGACAAGCCTGATGCATTTTGGAAACAAGTTCTGTGGACCGATGAGGTTAAAATTGAACTTTTTGGCCAGAATGAGCAAAGGTACGTTTGGAGAAGAAGGGGCACAGAATTTAATGAAAAGAACCTGTGTCCAACTGTTAAGCATGGGGTTGGATCAATCATGCTTTGGGGTTGTGTTGCAGCCAGTGGCACAGGGAACATCTCATGAGTAGAAGGAAAAATGGATTCAATAAAATTTCAGCAAATTTTGGATGGTAACTTGATGCCATCTGTGAAAAAGCTGAAGTTAAAGAGAGGATGGCTTCTACAAATGGATAACGATCCTAAACACACCTCGAAATCCACGGGGGATTACATCAAGAGGCGTAAACTGAAGGTTTTGCCATGGCCTTCACAATCTCCTGACCTCAACATAATTGAAAATCTATGGATAGACCTTAAAAGAGCAGTGCGTGACAGACATCCCAGAAATCTCAAAGAACTGGAAGACTTTTGTAAGGAAGAATGGGCAAAGATACCTCAAACAAGAATTGAAAGACTCTTGGCTGGCTACAAAAAGCGTTTACAAGCTGTGATACTTGCCAAAGGGGGCAGTACAAGATATTAACTCTGCAGGGTGCCCAAACGTTTGCAGACGCCATTTTTTTGTTTTCTGTTATTTTGAAAGTGTAAATGATGGAAATAAAATCTAACTTTTGGTGACATATTATAAGAATGTCTAATCTGTAATTTGATGCCTTTTGGAGATTTTTCCATCTTTCCTTGGCTTCTTTATGCACATTAATACAAATTTTTAGCTAGTTTAGAAGTTAAGCACAGCATGCCAACCATGAGAGTGAGAGGGAATTAAATTTGGTGAGTGCACACCTGAGAGGGGAGCACCACACAGATTTATATTTTGTTTTTTGCGCAATTATTCACGCGGGGATTATTGGATGATCGAAGTGATTTATTCTGATGAATTTTGTATAATATTTTTTCTTCACGTGGTGATCACAAGAATGGACTGAATTATTTGGACTTTCATATATGTTCATTAATTGAAAATTATTATTATTGATGTATGTGCCGCATTAATATTTATTTATTTATTTTTTAAGTATCATTGTCAAAGTCTACAATCAAGAGAAGACTTCACAAGAGTAAATACAGAAGGTTCACCACAAGGTGCAAACCATTCATAAGCCTGAAGAATAGAAAAGTCAGATTAGACTTTGCCAAAAAAACATCTATAAAACAGACGTGTTCTGGAAAAGCATTCTTTGGACAGATGAAACTAAGATTAATCTGTACCAGAATGGCGGGAAGAAAAAAGTGTGGAGAAGGCTTGGAACAGCTCATGATCCAAAGCATACAATTAAATAACAAAAAAATGTTCTCCTGCGCTTTTACGGTACATGTTAAACTAAACTAAAAAGCAGCCAGCATCTCACCTATACCAAATAGGAGCAATAGTACAAATACATATAAAAGTGATGCAGCGCTATAACTAAAAATAGAACACTCAAGAGATGTTAAAATGATTTACATAAAATAAATACTAGAAAATAGACTTTAGCAAATGGGGCAACAGATGACCCAAATCCACATGGGGATATAAAAGAAACAGTGACCCCTAGTACCCAAAGGGTACTCAATGAAGACCAGGTGAATATCTACAGGAGAAGTCAAACAGATAACAAAGCACACAATGTCATCTGTAAAACATGGTGGAGGCAGTGTGATGGCATGGGCACGCATGGCTTCCAGTGGCATTGGGTCATTGGTGTTTATTGATGATGTGACAGATGACAGAAGCAGCCGCATGAATTCTGCAGTATACTGTCAGCCCAGATTCAGCCAAATGCAGCAAAGTTGATTGGACGGCGCTTCACAGTACAGATGGACAATGATCCAAAACACACTGCAAAAGCAACCCAGGAGCTTTTGAAGGAAAAGAAGTGGAATATTCTGCAATGGTAGAGTCAGTCACCTGATCTCAACCCAATTGAGAATGCATTTCACTTGCTGAAGGCAAAACTAAAGGCAGAACAAAGAACAATTGAAGACAGCTGCAGTTAGAGCCTGGCAAAGCATCAGAAAGGAGGAAACCCAGTCTTTGGTAATGTTCATGGGTTCCAGACTTCAGGCAATCATTGCCAGTAAAGGATTCACAACAAAATATTAAAAATAAACATTTTATTTATAAATATATTCATTTGTCCAATTACATTTGAGCCCCTGAAAATGGAGCGACTGTGTATACAAATGGTTGCAGTTCCTAAAATTTGTACTTGATATTTATGTTCAACCCCTTAAATTAAAGCTGAAAGTCTGCACTTCAAATTCATTTGGATTGTTTCGTTTTAATTTATTCTGGTGGCACACAGAGCCAAAAGTATGACAATTGTGCCTGTGTTCAAATATATATGGACCTAACTGTAAATACAATATAAAACCCTTGCAGGAGGATTAATGTCTTAATGCAGTGTGTCCTTATTCTACAAATATAAATTTTTGTAAAATTGCAAGATACTATTGCAGTATTTAATGTCCACAGCCGAGGGGAACCAAGTACTCCATGCTATTAAGAACAAAGGAAAAGAATGAGGACTGTAATGGAAATATATACTGCCAGATGTTTAAATGACTGAGAGATAGAGGAATGAACAGACAAGGGTTTGATAAAAGAGGAAAGTGAATAGGACAAAAACAATAAGTGGGAGGTTTGGAGAGTTCTCCACCTCCCCAGAGCAATGGTCAGTATGTTAATTTCATAAATGAGTCATCTTAAATTCCTGTATGGCCAAAATGTGCTTATAAACCTCAACACTTCAGCAGAATCTCCATGCTGCAGTTGACACTTTACCTAACAGAAGTCACTCCCTCCCTCAGAACTGCAGAATCCCAACTGCTAGTGAAGGGAACAGCAACACAGCTTCATCTTGCTGTTCAGGCCAGTAAAAAAGTGACACTGTTGGATAAGAGGGTGGATTCTAAGTGATTTTGTCACTGGAAAGGTGTTGCCAGAGTCAGAATTACTGGTATGACATGGACCTAAAATTAATCTTTTTTTAGTAGATATGATATACTGTATGTACTGTATTTGCCATGTCTTGCCTATTACGCTTGGGGTTTTTTTTGTAATTCCTTTGTTTATAAAGTTATTTTGCAAACACATACAGTAAGTAAGGAAAACAAGATAACAATAAAGGCAGATCTTCAGGAATCAGCACTGCAGCATGCAATATCATACAAATGTTAGTAAAAGAACTGTCAAAGCCAGTAAGGAACAGGAGTATTAAGGTAAAAAAAACAACATTATGTCAAAAACCAATGGTATATTGTGGGCATCATGGTCAGCATTGTGGGAATATACTAAAAAGGTTATTCAGGGGTTGAAAGGGGTTGAAGCAAACGCTTACGTAGGCTGTAACTATTCTCACATTTGGGGGGTTGAGATCGGCAATAAGGGCATTGCCATCCACTTAGACATGAGCAAGTAGATGTATAGGAAAGAGGCGAGAGACTAAGACTAGGGACGCATGCCTCAATGTCAGTAGATAACAAGCGGAGGGTGGGGGGAAGAGGGAGGAAAAAGTAGGGAGAAAAGATAAAGCAAGATGAAGGAAAGAAGGGGAAAGGGGCTTTTGTTTTAATGCAACATTTATAACTTTTTAAGGATATACAGGAAACATACATATATATATATATATATATATATATATCTTTCTGTGCTCACCAGTAATATGTGGATTTTTCTTTTGGCAGGTCACAGCTCCAGGAATAGAGTCTGTCAGTTGTGAGTATTCTGCTTTGGGGTGAGTGTAATGGGCCACAAAGAGAGAAATGGACACTATAGAGTAGAGGGTCAACAACCTTTTCCACATTAAGTGTAAATTTACAAGCATTACACAACCAGTGTGCTATTAAAGAATAGCGAGCCATAGACCTTAGATCAGCCCAGATTATTGTACCTTCAGACTTCACATCAACCCCAGTTCCTGCACCTTCAGACCTCAGTTAAACCCCAATTCCTGCACCTTCACACCTTAGATCAGCACCAATTCCTGTACCTTCACACCTCAGATCAGCCCCAATTGCTACACATTTGGACCTCAGATCAGCCTCAGTTCCTGCACTATCAGAAAGGCAGGTACTGAGAGGAGAACAGGGTCCTGAATGTCAGGGACGTAAGGCAGGTCTCTCTGAAACATGTTGGTGGATTGCAGCGCAGAGGTGCAGGCCATAGTTTGAAATTGACATCCCATGACCGCAGCGCTGTATTTGTGGGGAGAAGGGCCCAGCAGGAGCAAGTCTGAGCTTGCACACATACCACATGACAATCTTCTTAGTGGCACTGAAAGTGACATCACGTGCCTGCTCTTGCGCGCTTGCCTTTGTTACTTATGTAGAGTATGATTCAGCGTTTTCAAATGTAGACCTCACCTAATGTTCTGCTTTGATTTACTTTTACTCTAAACATTATTTTTTGTGTGTATGTAATTTCAGCAGCAGTGCCAGCTCCATCGGTGAGTACCTTAATAATTAATCTGTGCCTAATTACTATATGTACTTTTACTGTTAATCCTTTCGAGGCCCACTCGCAAAAGCATAGTGTGTGTGGTATTTTCAATGCGTAGATAAATCAACTATATGTTTACTATTTTTCTACCAAAGGGCTTGTGATTTATACACCTCTCTGCCACACAGCACAATTGGGCAAATGACACACACATTTCCTGATTCAGTTATGCAACTTTCTATGTCACCTCTGTTTTTTCAGCCTGCTTACTGGACAATGAATGAATTAATCTTTCTGGCTTTACATTGTGGCAGAGATGTGCTTTATCACAGCCACCAGCATTGGAAGCTTGTCTATGGTTGCTGATACTTTTAGGAGAGATAGAACGTTTCAACAGCACAAATTGAGGAAGAAAATCCTCCCACTCCACGTCTGGAAATCTGTGGTATCTTGTTGTACTAAAGTACATATATACAGCCAAAACGTTTTAAATTTTTGGGTAGAGTGAGAAAGGGTTACAACCTTTTACTGTTTCTGTGGACCTAGTGAGGAGATTTCATCCTGTCCTGATGGGAGCATATTATATGGACCGGAAGTGAGGGAAAATCTTCAAGAGAAAACAGACTGCAATAAAAACTCTCCTTTTGGTGGAGTAGGGGAAGCTAGAACCCCTGCAAGCTTTTCCTGCAGTCTTTGTTCTGATTCCGATTTTCCCTCTTTCCACTGGCTGTAACACTCCCTCCCCTCTGTATCCAGAACAAAAAAAAAAAACTTGAGTAAACTTTCTGACTGTAGCAAAGTTGCAGTGCATGGGTTGTATTAACAATCAGCTGATTGATTTTACTTGTTGCCCTAATGCTTGCCTCAATACCAGATGTAAAAGACTATGGCTAACTAGTGTATCTTCACCTATAACAGCTCCCTTTCCTTAAGGCTAACAGGTCTACCGGTACTTGGTTGCCCCAGGACTTATTACACAATGGTGTAATCCAGAAACAGACAGGGGTCAAGGCAGGCAACAGTCAGCAAGCTTTGTCCAAAGACAAGCAGGAGTCATGGCAGACTATGGTCAGTAAGCATAATCCAAAAGCAAGCAAAAGGTCCAAGCAGACAGCAGACAATATAGTAATAGTCAATAAGGTAAGGGGAGAGAGTATTATGAGTGCAGTGCCAGTGTAGTAAAAAGCTATTAAAAGCCCAGTGCCCTGGGCTTTCAATGCTTATAGAGAGTGCCTGAGGTATTGTGGCCAAGCAGACAGGTAAGGAGTTGCTGCTAGAGCCGGACCTGTTGCCCAACTACGGACACACTGAGTGGGGGATAGGTGTGGCCATCAGCCAGTCAGCATGGAGGAGGTTTTCCTGCAAGCTGCCAGGAGCCTGTGACAGACAGTGTGGGATAGCGTCCGAGAGGTAAGTGAGAGACATTCCTGACAGTTGCTCTGAATTGCTCTTTAATTCTTTCAGGACATAAATATTCTTGTGAATGTTGATGTGAAGTATTTTTCTAATGCAGTTGTCATTTCTACATTGTGCAGATGCCAAAGACTGTGGATGACAAGTCACCCTCTCAGGACATTCCAAAAAAGGTTGACGCGTGTTTTTATACACAGCATGTGATTGATTTTCAGAAACATATCATCTTTATCATACAGTACAGGACACAGGACTTCATGACCATAGATTATATGCAGGCTACTTTCAAATCAATGGACACTGGCAAAATAACTTTGTTAGGGCCCCTACTGCACGCTCATATAACCCCACCCACTCAATGAGGTTCTTGTTTTTCCATAGGCAATGGACCTTCTCCTTTTGAGAAGTTTTTTTCCTTTTACACCATTCCTTTCTCTTTTCAGATGCTTTTATCAAGGTCTTTTCACAAAAGTGCTTGCCCCGCTTTTGCTCTTCTGCGAACACAGGGCATTCCTGTTACAGGGTACAATCTTCTGCTGAATGACTCCTCAGCAACAACCTTGTCTGCCAACTTCCAAACGAAGATTCAGTTCCTTGAAACCTTTGGCTGGCTAATCAACTTTCCAAAGTCTTCCCTCCAACCCTCACACTGTCTGGAGTACCTGGATTCAATTTTGAACATGGCCCTACCTAGAATTTTACTTCCTCCAAAAAAGATTGCCACCTTGAGATCCCACATGCTGACCATTAGATCCAAATGTCATCCTCAGTTCTCTTCTGTATAAGGGTTCTGGGCCTAATGGTAGCCTCCTTTGAGGTAGTTGCCTTGCCCAGTTTCAATCCAGGTCACTTCAACTGAATATCTCCACCTCGACCTCCAACATATATTAAGGCTAATATATGTTTTCCCTCTGTTAAAAATTCCCCCTTGACTGCTATGCAAGATGGAGGAAGAAGGGGTTCTGGTGATCATCACTGCACCAAATTAAGCCAGAAGAGCTTGGTACACAGACATACTGAGAGTCTTTGCCTCTTTCAAGCAGACCAGTCTTGGTGCAAGGCCCTCATTCCATCCTTTTTCTCAGTTGCTGGCTTTAACGGTATGGCTGAGGAAAACCCAGGTTTTGAAGGATGGGGGTATCTCTGATTCTTTTACCTCCTCCTAATTCAGAGTGAGAAAATGTGTCTCCCGCAAGATCTACCATTGCATATGAAAGACTTACTTTGCCCTGTGCAAGGAGAGGAAGCTGAATCCCCAGGGAATATTCTGCAGTTCATATTTTGGCCTTTCTTAACCACTTGCCTACCGGGCACTTATACCCCCTTCGTGCCCAGGCCAATTTTCAGCGCTGTCGCATTTGAATGACAATTGCGCGGTCATGCAACATTGTACCCATATGACATTTTTATCATTTTTTTCACACAAATAGAGCTCTTTTGGTGGTATTTAATCGCTGCTGAGTGTTTTATTTTTTGTGCTATAGACAAAAAAAGAGCAAGAAATTTGAAAAAAAAGTTTTTCTTTGTTTTTATTATAAACTTTTGCAAACATTATTTTTTTACTTCACTGATGTGCATTGATGAGGCTGCACTGATATGCAGCAATGATGGGCACTGATAGGCCGCACTGATGGGCAGCAATGATGAGTGGCACTGACTGACAGAACTTCTGGGCACTGACGGGTGGCACTGCTGGGCAGCACTGACGGGTGGCACTGATGGGGGGCACTGGTTGGTGGCACTGCTGGACACAGCTGGGTGGCACTGGTAGGCACTGCTGGGCACAGGTGGGTGGCACTGCTGGGCACTGGTGGATGGCACTGCTGGGCGGCACTGCAGGGCACTGGTGGGTGGCACTGCTGGACACTGATCATCAGTGCCCTAATGATCAGTGCCAATCTGTTCTCTGACAATTGCTGGTTATTGCGGTCATGCAACATTGTACCCATATGAAATTTTTATCATTTTTTTCACACAAATAGAGCTTTCTTTTGGTGGTATTTATTTGCCCCTGGGTGTTTTATTTCTTGCGATATAAACAAAAAAAGAGCAACAAATTAAAAAAATAAATTTTTTTCTTTGTTTTTACTAGAAAATTTTGCAAACAGGTAATTTTTCTCCTTCACTGATGTGCGTTGGTGAAGCTGCACTGATAGGCAGCACTGATGGGCACTGATAGGCAGCACTGATGGGCACTGATGAGGTGGCATGGATAGGCAGCACTGATGGGCACTGATAGGCTGCACTGATGAAGTGGTACTGATGAGGCAGCACTGGTGGGCATTGATAAGGAGACACTGATGATGCTGCACTGATAGGCTGCACTGATAGGCGGCACTGATGGGCAACACTAACGGGTGGTGCTGACTGGAGGCACTGCTGGGGGCACTGATGAGAGGCACTGCTGGGGGGCACTGGTGGGTGGTACTGTTGGGAGGCACTGCTGGGCACTGGTGGGTAGCATTGCTGGGCACTGATGGGAGGCACTGGTGGGCGGCACTGCAGGACACTGATCATCAGTGCCCTGATGATCAGTGCTGATCTCCTCTGACAGCTGTCGGTTATCGGCAGGACTTTCCTCAAGCTGTGACAGCGTGAGGAATGTGCTGACAATAACCGGCAACTGTATTTACCCAGTGATCTGCTGTGTCATTGGACAGAGCTGATCACGTGGTAAAAGGCCGCTGTGATTGTCTTATTACCAAATCACGCGATCAGCTGTGTCCATAGGAAACAGCAATCATGGAGGTCACTGGGTGTGCAACACCGGAGGCACGTGGGAGGGTGCGTTCTGGGAGGACGTCATATGATGCCCTCCCAGGACTGGACAACCTCGCTGTAGCTGTCATTCGGCTATAGCGCGGTTGCCAAGTGGTTAAAGTGGCTGTAAACCTCAGTCATGGAATCTGAACAAAGCACACATAAGATAACTTTGGGTCAGGGAGAGGAGGCAGGGAAAGCTCAGTAAAGAAACGATCTATTCACAGCATAGCTCCTGTGTGGGGGGTGTGTCCCATTCCTCCAGTCAGCTCTAGGGGTAGCTCCCCGATGCTGTGATACTGACAAGTGCAGAAGGATTTTATCTAAAATCAGCACTTTGGAGGGATGTAGAAAAGAGAAGACTGCAGATAAACAAGTACATTTTATGTTGGAGGATTTGTTTCATCTCTGTGTATCACCTGAGGTCAGTCACTTCACTGGGTATATGTGAGGGTTTACAACTACAGGTACTTTAAACTTGGTCCTGACCAGTATCTCTCCTCGAATATCATTAAGGTTTCCAACTTATTCATTTTTTTCCAGAACCTCTTGCTTCGCAGTCCTTAGCCAAGACTTTTCTTCAGGGAGTTTCCCATAGCAATTCTCCAATTTGGCCTTCTGTGACACCTTGGGATCTTAATATGGAGCTCTCGGTACTCCTCTTTGAGCTTATCCCATTGGAAAACCTCACATGTAAGGTTGCCTTTCTGGTGAACTTTACATTTTTTAGGCATGTTTCCGAGCTGGCAGCTCTCTCTTGTAAAGTCTTTTCTTGTTTTTTATAAAGACATGATGGTCTTGAAACCAAGACCTTCTTTCCTACCCAAGGTGATCTCTCCCTTCCACCTAAAAGAGGATATTGTCTCTGTCCTGCTCTAAAACCCCCCAAGCCACTGTTTGCAAAACGGAGTCCATTTTTGTCTTACCTGTTGGTCCTTGTAGACGACATCCCACCTCCTGTTCCATCATTGCCAGATGGGATCAGACACCTTATTTGCGGGGCTTATGCCCTTAATGTAAGGGTTTGTCCTTTTTCTATCAGATCTCATTTCACCAGGTCAGGTGGTGTCTTTTTGGCTTTCCAGCATCCGGTCTCCGTATCCTGATTTGCCAGGCTGCTACCTGGTTCTCAATTAACATGTTCTACAGGTTTTACGAGGTGGATCTTCAGGTCTTGGCTGATGCAAGCTTCAGACTCAAGGTGCTTCTAGCTATTGTCTGAGTGTTTTTGGGTTCCTTAACCCTGTGTTTTTTGTGGGCCTGTTGACAGTTGTGTTTGCTTTTTTATTGCTTACCCATTATTTCTTGGTGACAGCCCATGGTTCAGGAATACAGGTCATGTGTCTTCTACTCTAAGATTAAGATAAAGGGAATTTTGGCTTACCTGTAAACTTCTTGTCTTGGAGTACAGTATTTTGCACAGGTCCCTAACCTCTGTCTTTCTGAGGTCACTCCTTGTTTACAGTGAATAGTGAAGCGCTATAAATCAATTCTATCTAATATGTAAAAATTGTGCTATATTGTGCTAGCTGTGCCAACACATTAGTGCTCAGTGAAGAAATCTTGCAAACAAATAAATGTCTTAATCAACAAATATAAGTGAAACATAACATTAAAATTGTGACAAATAATTGTGATAGTGGTTCTTTAACCACTAGCCTACAGGGCACTTATACCCCCCCTTCCTGCCCAGGCCAATTTCCAGCTTTCAGCGCTATCACACTTTGAATGACAATTGCGCGGTCATGCAACATTGTACCCATATGAAATTTGTATCATTTTTTAGAGACAGATAGAGCTTTCCTTTGGTGGTATTTAATCACCTCTGGCATTTTTATTTTTTCGTAAACAAACCAAAAGCCACTGAAAATTTTGAAAAAAAAAAAAACCCTTTTTTTCGTAGTTTTTGTTATACAGTTTTGTAAATAAGTGATTTTTCTCCTTCACTGATGTTCGCTAATGAGGCTGCAGTGATGGGCACTGATAGGCTGCACTGATGGACGCTGATAGGTGGCACTGATGGGCACTGATGAGGAGGCACTGGTAGGTTGAACTGATGGGCATTGACAGGCATCACTGATGGGCACTGAAAGGCAGCACTGATATATGACACTGATAGGCAGAACCGACAGGCACTGATAGGCAGCACTGACTGGCATTGTTAGGCAGCACTGACTGGCACTGTTAGGCGGCACCGACTGGCACTGATAGGCAGCACTGATGCGCACTGCTAGGCGGCACTGATGCGCACTGATATGCGACACTGTCTGACACTGATAGGTGGCACTGATTGGCAGCACTGATAGGTGGCACTGATTGGCATTGATAGGTGTCACTGACTGGCACTGATGGGTGACATTGAAAGGCAGCTCAGATGGGCACTGATATGTGGCATTGATGTGCACTGGTATGC